AGTAAATTCAGTTGAGAAAAACTGCTTTAGAATATTCATTTATTACATCAGGATGTAGTTTAGCATTATGCTGCTGAAAATTCAAGCACGTCGGCTGAATTAGCACAGTTTGCTTGATCTTTAATGCCTGTTTCAGATTATGTAACTAAAGACATTTAATTAAGAAACATGTTGTTTCCACTGCGATTTATTGCTAATGACAATGCCTGAATATTTGATCCACTGCATTTTTTCAATAGACTCACTCCCGAGAGTTAAATCATTATTATGAGATGAAATGGATTTTTTACGTAACATCATCATTTTCGATTTTGAAGAATTAAACTAGAGCTTGTACAGTTTTGACCATATATAAACATAGTTTAATAATCTTTTTTTTTTTTTTTTTTGTATGTGTGTTCCTCGTACAGTGCAAAAATGGCGGCACCTAGGGCTAATTCTGAAAAAGCACCGTACTCCACCAGAACATGTGGACCTCAAATCCCGGATTTTTAATTTATTTATTTATTTCATATTTTATAAAAATTTAATGATATTTTGATTAACAAACTGGAATATTTTAAAAGCAATAAGCTGCCATTCAGCAAAAAAAAGATACTTTTGTTTCAAATTTAATCACAAAGCTCAGCAATGGGATTTAATCACAAAGCTCAGCAAAGATATGGGAAATTTAATTCGGAAAAGCTTAACATATTTATGTTTGACAGAAAAGTGTTGTTTTGTCTTCCACATGCCAACGTGTTGCCATTCTGCAAAGTGTAAGATATTAATTTTTTCTTTCAAATTTAATCTGCCTGTTATAGATTAACAAACGAAGTGATTTAAAAACAATAAACGAAGTTTCTCATCTGTATTATTATTAATTAATAGATCTGTGAAATTCCTCTAAGTGATTAAAACCACAGTTATGGTTTTTCATGTTTCATAATAACTACTTCAGTCAAGCAGTTAGTTGAGGGAAAAAGGCCTAAACTCACTTTAGAAACCCCACAAATGATATTAAACTGAAATACAGTCAAAAGTCTTTAATCCGGACTCGTCAGGACAATCAGGACTCATCAGGAATATGAAACCGTAATTTATGAAATAAAGAGCAATCATGATCTAAAGGGTATCAAAATTTACAAAAAAAAAAAAAGCTTAATATTTATTTGTTTACTTTATTAAACATTTCTTTCAACATGCGCATGCGTAAGGCATACATTATAGTCGAAATTAGAAAATTGCAACCAGAAAACTATTTGATGTGTATTCGTGATATTTATAATGATGAGGAATTTGACTTAAATCATATCAAAGGCGGAGCACATCGAGATGAAATGCTACATTTAGTAAGGAATTATAAGCCGAATAAAATAAAAACATCTGCCCTGAAGATGAGGATAGTGCTGACAGATAAACTTCCAGCTCATTGTGGGCCGCGACGTCCCCCCTTGCAGAGCAGCGTGAAATTGATAAACAGATTTCGGAATGGTTAGAGAAACAAAGGATATGCCTTTTATCCATTTTTTGCAGCAATTCCACTTTTTGTTTGATGGACATCGAAACATGCTTTCACTTTGTAGATCCTTTGGCAGCTCCAGAATCGGAAATTCTTTTTGACATAATCGAAAGTTCAAGCTTACTTTTATAAAATTGCTCTAACAGTCTACAAAAAATAATAAGCCAGATCCAATTAGAAGATTAAGGAACACAATCTGCAACATTAACTGAAAGAGATAATTAGATAATTTTAGCTTAGCTTATCCGTCCGTTATACATTAAACATGCATGCGTAAAGATATTATGCGCATGCGTTAACGCATTATGCATTTACACATGCGCAGAAAGTTTGTAGCTTTGAGGTCCGGACTATAGATCATTCCGGATTAAAGACTTTTGACTGTACTCGTTTATATAGTAGGCGCCGCTTAATGTGATGACATTTGTCCGAGCAATTTCGATAACATTAAATGATGAGCAAAAATACCTTTAAAAATAGCATTGGAATTTAACTAATTTAATATAAATATAACTAGAAACAAACGCGTGCTTTAACAGCATTTTAATTAGAAACATGTAATAGTTTCTTTATGAAGTGTCCACACCATTTTATATGCAGTTCACTTATGAAATGTCATAACGTTTCTGGAAATCATTTGACCGATGCTGTATCCCTAATCTTAATACTCGGAAAGAATCCCCAACTGCAACACAGGATGCCAATGTAAAATTTAAAATTAGGGGAAGAAAACAACCATAGTTTGCCCATGAATGAAGACATATATTTGATCCCCCTTCAAATTCTCAGAGTTATTCAAAATCTAAGTTGATTTTTTGTCTAATTTTAAATGGTTGACTAAAATCTAAACCAAGGTGTTTAATGAGTTCATCTCTTACTTAGCAACATTTTTCTGTCACTTGGCAATTTTTAAAATCCATTTTGACATCACTTGACGACTTTACTTCAGTTTAACAAGTTATTTGATTATACTTTGATAATATTAACCGAATGTTTTATCACAATTCACGATGTATTTTCCATGTTTTCATATAGAAACAGGCAGGATTCCACAATTTGATAACAATATCCAAATAACATTAATATCGATCACTATCTGATTGCAAAAAATGATCTCATGCTTGATAAACGACTTGCATTGTGTTGAGATACCAAATATTGTGCAACTTAAACAGAAAGATGCTAGAAATCTCATTTTATTTCAATAAAAAGAAATTATTTTATTGGAAGATTGTTACATTAGCTAACAGGCCTGGTTGTAGCAAAAATACACTGCTGGTCATTAAAATTGCAATGCCATGAAGGAAAGCAAATACAAAAAAGATATTGTTATGGATTTAAGTATTTAGTTAGCTATTTTAATGAGAACTGTAATTAAAATGATTTTATTTCGACGTGCAATGCAGCGCGTGACACGTTTTAAGAGAAAGCTATGCCGAAAAAGTAAAAATACAGGAGTACACGCATTTAACAAATAGATATCTCATAATTGTACTCTTTTGCTTTCCAGAAACCTCGAAAAATACCAGAATGTTCTCATGCATGATTAAACAGCTTATAATAGTTAAAGAAAAACATCTCAGTTCAGTTGTTTACTAAGTTTTTGTTATTGATTGTAGCGAATTCGCAGTGAGATCGTATAAGCTTTCTCTGTACTTTGGATTGCATTCTATTTAATGTTTCAGTAGTTTAAAATATACTTACTGTGTGATATTGTGATACTGTACGAATATCTGTGAGGAAAAATTTCAGCATTTTGTTTCATTTCTTGCAATAAGAATAAATTTTGTTAACTGTTCATTGGACTTGTGCATTCAATCTATTACAAACCCATACGCAAGCAACAATATTTATTGTATACAAACAGTATGGCATGAAGACAAAATGATAAAATTTGGAAGCAGTCTAAGAGTTTACAGGAGTGCGAGATTAGTAGAAAAAGCTGCCAGCCCTGGCAGCTTTTTCTACTTTAGTCCTTATCCGGTTAGGCATGGAGTGGATTTGGGTTTGGATAATAGAAACCGGCAACTTATTCCATGCTGCTTCAGGTCTATGTCACACTTCATCAACTTTATTAGCTGGAGAGGGGTGGCTGGCCAGTCTTTCAACGACTAGATGTTTCCAGTGGGTGACAGATCTGGACACGATGCAGACAAGGGCAGCAATCGGATATTATCTGTATCGAGGAAGGTGAGAACAAGACGTACAACATGTGGTCTTGCATTATGTTGCAGAAAGATGACATTTGGCAGGCCTCGAAAATAGGGCACAACCACTGGACGTAAGATGTCCGAAATGTACCAACTTGCGTTCAAATTACTGTCAATCTGAACTAGAGATGTGCAAGTCTTGTACCCAATGGCCGCCCAAACCATCACACAAGATGCAGGGTTGCTATGCTGATATCGAATGTAATCATGCGACGTGCAGTCTCCTCTGAGCCTGCAGATACGTATACAGCCATCAGAATACTGCACACAGAACTGGGACTCATATGAAGCAACATTGTGCTACTCCTGTATCCAGCTTTGTCATTCGGCACACTAGAGTTGCCGTCTCTCTCTATGCTGCATTGTCAAGGGAAGCCACAGTAATGGTCGTCATGCTGATACGCCACACTGCTGTAAATGGCAACGCACCATACGAGCAGATATTGGGCGTGCTGCAAACATGCCCATTTCCTGCCTACTGGTCCATGATGTGGTTGTGCAGTTTTGCAGGGCTGACCTCACAATATATCTGTCCTCTTGGTCATTAATCATGGGAGGGCGTTGAGAACTTGCATGCCGTTCAGTATGACCCTCAGCAACCCATTGATTCCATATTCGGACGGCAGTGGTTAGATGTCGACCAGTGTGACAGTGATATTACGGAATTATAATCCACACTCTCGATAGGCAACAATTCTACCTATATCGATTTTCGACACTTGCTATTAAGCATTTCTTCTTTTTCGAGGCATAACACGATATTCTGAGCAAACTTCAACCTCACAAAGCACTTTCTGAATGAGAAATCAACTACACAACTTATCTTTTATGCAGCGCTTCAGATGTTGTTTCTCTCTTCTGTGTCGTCTAATGTGCTGAAATACTTATCATTTGCATATCCCAACCTGTTCTTCCTTTCATGTCATTTTGATGTTCAGCAGATCATTCCTTCCTGGTGTTGCAATTTTAATGGCCAGCAGTGTATAATAAGAAAGACGTATAACTTCAGTAAAAATAAAAGAATTACATGCAAATCCACAAAAAGGGTAAAGAAATGTAAAAACAGAATTCGGTCTATCAACAGTGAAAGCTTTGTCGCCGAGGCAAATTGCTCAATCTGTAAATAATAAATTTATAGTGAGATTCAGATAACTAAGAAAGTAAGAAATTTTACATACGGTTTTTACAATTAAGACTGTTCCCACCTAAACTACAGTAAGACTGTTCCTATCTAAACCACACTGTTTCCTTATAAGAATTTTAATACATCATATATTAATTTACTTTACCTGTTTAATAACATCTGAAACAGCTTCTTGCAATTTACTATCTTTCCAGTGATGCATGATGTAGCTCCTAAGACAACCTTCTGCACAGGGAAATAGTTCATCCTAAAAAAAAATTAATATGAACTGTACAATAACAGTTCAAAAGCTGGTACTTGCGTATTAGTGTAAACACCTTAGTTTCAAAAGCAAAGTTCAAAATATGCCATCTGGCAAACATGGATAAAACAATCTTTCAATTTTAACAAGTGAAGTCACCATTTTCGTATGTGTTCTTTTTGTTGTATTTCAAGTTCCAACAGTTCACAGATAAATCCTGATAGCTCTTAAACTCTATTTTAAAACATACGCTTGTGGGATTTGCATAAAATGTAAGGAACTGCAGTAACATTTCTGCAAGAATACAGTCACCGAACTTAATCACTAAATTGCTAAAGAGAACAATGGCAACTGATCTATTTTCAGAGCAACCACCAAGAAATTTCTACAGAACAAAAAAAAAAAAGAAAAGAAATAATCGCTTGTAATTTAGGTTTACTGATTAAATTTTGGGATAAATATCTAATTAAAATGTAAAATTTGTATGCAGGAATATGTAATATATACCTTTCTGTAATTGTAAATCAACATTCTTTTTCTTCTGTGAAAAATCACCAAATCCTGCCAACGTGATTACCTAATAGTGCTAATATATACAGTCAGACGTGTTGCTATAAGAAATTCTTCCAAAAAAAAGCATTTCTTTTAGCACTAGTTTGAACAAAGAAGATTTCTAGCTGCAACAGTTAAGTTTAGGAATTATTTCCTGTACATAGCTGCAATATTTTACGATGCTGAGGGGGAGGGGAAGAATATTCTCTCAGCTCTGTTTTGCATAGAAGAAGAACCTGCCAGAATACAGGTCTGCTTCTGTAATATGTTATATCTGGGTGGTCTTTCTTTGTACTTCTAGAAGAAGGATACTTCTCATTGATTTTCACGTCGAGAGGTCTTGATAAAGAGTTTGAGTACACAGAAGCTAACGAACATCTGACCAGTCTCAAAATATGTACCAGAATGTTTCATATATATACACAGGCAACCCTTAACTTTCGCACATAATTGGTTCTTAAAAAATGTGTGCGAATGTTTAATGTTCTAGAATAGAGTGATGTTAAAAAATTGTATTTTAAGACGTTTATTTGTCAGTAATATTATTTAGTCATAAATATACATAATTAAATTAACAAGGTATGTTTCAGAGCTTTCAGGTGTTTACTTTATAAGCTTTCAAGAGTTAACTGAATATCACATCCCCTCCCCCATGATAAAGAAGAAAATAAAAAAAAAAAAAAAATTATTATTATAAGAAAACAGAAACAGTTCTTAACTCTTTTTACTTTTTCTTTCTTTTCTCGATGGTCTTACTCAATCAGCCTACATATATAAGAAATACGTTCTTTATTGGGATCAATTTTTCCATGATAGTCAAAAATTTTTCAAGATGCATGATGGCTTCATTCACAGTTTTATTGTCAAAGTCTTGACAATTTTATCAGCTTCTTCCTCACTTTTATTGTATACTTCATTTAACTCTTGCCTCTATTAAGCATTAAGCATATTTTAGATTGCGTGCAAAGTAAATTTAGTATTAAAAGGTATGATGTTGGAGTTGTTAATGAGTCTTTTGTTCATGGGTGTGTTTATGAGGATTGAAGTGTATTTTTGGAATTTCTGTGGGACTTTTAAAAAAGAGTCCCAAATGTGGAGCTGCTATGAGAACTCGGACGAAGAAGGACGTTTCTGATAGTTCTTGTGTGGATTTGCAGTTAAATGGTTGCTGGTAAAGTACGTGGCTGATTTGGATTGTGGTTTTTGTGTAGTATGTTAACTTTGGAGGAAGTTTTTATCGTTACTTTCGAAATTTTGAATCTCAGAAAGACATGTGATATAGCAGAATCGTGGCACTTTTGTTCAGAGACATTGGGTGACTGGCAAAATTTTATTCAGGAATGTATTATGGTAAGTGCATTTTATTTTGTAGAATGTTATGTTCATTGTTTTTTCACAATGAATTTATGTTATTGTTGTTTTTTGAATTGATTGTAATTTAGTTTAGTTTATTTGGTTGATTTGTGCACAATGCCTAGATTGTGCAATTCGTAGATTTTTTTTTACGTATTCCTTGAAAATTATTGTTGTTATGTTAATTTATTGAGGTGAGGTGTAATGTTCTACCTTTATGGTATTGCTTAACTGCCTGCACGAAATGAAAAGGAAACCAATCTTTAAATAATAACACGGTAACTTCTGCCTTTTTATTTGGTTCCCAAATGACTGGAAGCAATTCTTTATCTTTCCCTTTTAACATTCTGTGATTTTCTCCTTGACAAACTAACACAGGCTAGGTTTCCATCAAGAAGTTATATCAGTCAGGTTTTAGAAAGTTTATGTCCAGTGGTAACCGATTTTTCCTTTGATACGAATGTGCAATTAAGCACTTTTTTCCAAAATAAACCTGTCTCGTCTACACTGCACAAATATTCTCAACCTGCAACAATTTTGGACAATGAAAAAATTAATTCTTTTGAAAATTTTTTATCTGCACCAGCTGATTCTCCAGTGTATTTAATATTATATAATGAATACCTCTTTTTAAATTTGTTGAACCAGCCATTATTTGTTTGAAACACCATGCATGAGTCTTCTTTTAATCTAGAATTCCAGTCTTCATGCAAACTAAGAGCTTTAGCTTGAAAAATTGAAAAACTCAGAGGGAGATCGTTCTGACGATGATTGCCAACCCATGATGCCAAAGATGTTTCCATTTCATACATCCCTATGCCATATCCTTTGAAAATAGGCTTTACAGATGCCGTATGAACAGCCAATTGAAGCAAAAGATTCACCGCTTTCAGAACATCTAATTATTTTGTCTCGATCATATGAAGTTAGAGTCCGCGCCCCTTTTTATGCTCGTATCAAACTGCAGTTTCTCACTCTTGTTTATAAACTTATAAGGGAAAATGGTTAAACATAAACAAATACATACGCAAAACGTACATCGCCTGGACAGGCGCTCTAATGCATTGAACATATTTTACATTTGGCCCTGCCACTGTCGCTAAATCTACACTGCCCTCTAAAAGTTAAGGAACAGCATGTTTTTGGTGTCTAATTTTGAGAATGAAGCAACAAATTTAGAGGCAATGTTCATTAAACAGTTATTTAATGAATGTGAAGAACGCTTCTTAAGATGAATACAAACATGAATTACAACAAAAAATTGCACTCTTGGCAGAGAAACCCAAACTTGGAGAAACAGTATATCACAGTTTTTCAAGGGAAAATGTGGTGGTGACATAACAAAAATGGGATCTAATAAGTAATGTGTTTACCACTAGCTGCAACAAATTGGTGGCAGCCACGTTCCATGCTGTCAATTAAATTGTCGGCCAGCGAAATGGGAAGCAACAAAGAGACATGCAGTAATCTTTGCTCAAGCTCATCTAACACCTTGAAGGAGAATTTAAAGCAGCCACCCTGACTCCCAAGTTAGTTCCAAAGATGTTCTACTGGATTCAGGTCTGGGGATTGAGCTGGTCATTTCACCCACTACATACTGTGACCCTCAAGATATTCTTCATCAACTTGAGCTCGATGTCGTCGCCCATTGTCATCCATCAGAAGAAATCCAGGACCACCAACAGCAGCATATAGGTGGATATATTGATTAAGGATCTCGTTTCGATATCTCAAAATGGTCAAAGTTCCTTCATAGAACACATGCAGGTCAGTGTGGCCACCAAAGAGAGATCCAAGCTCAAACCATTACTCCACCACCTCTGTAACTGTGTCACTTCACAATGTCGAAGGGGTTGTATCTGGTGCATTGTTCCCTCCAGATTAGCTAATGACCTGAATTGCTCTCCCATGTGAATCTGACCTCGCCGATGAGGAGAATACAAGCCCATTGTTGAGTGGTCCAGGAGACATGTTCTCTTGCCCAACATAAGCGGGCAGCCCTGTGTCCTCGGGGGAAAGGGGCACAAACAACTGGTCGTCTAACATACAGGCCTGTATTATGCAGGCATCTTTGCACTGTAGTAGCTGCAGCTGCATTCTTGTTTCTGTGACCACTAAATGATCTGCCATGCGCTCAGGCACAGTAATGTCAGTCCTCCTTCAGGCCGGAAGAGCTAAATAACGATCTCACGCAGGTGTTGTAACTCTTCGTCTGCCTGGAACATGTGTTCTAGACACAGAATCTCAGATTCAAACCGATTCCATAGTCACTGGACTATGCTGCAAGAGACATTGAGACATCTAGCAGCATCAGCTTGTGACATCCCCATTTTCCATCGATCCAATCTTCTGCCACGTCAACGAATCGAGCAAGCGACTTCTCTTGGACATTGATAGACTCTCCTGGATATTGTCAATGAAATTGCTAACAATTAAAAATCAGCACTCGTGAACAAAACAGGCTATTCAAGATCTTCTACAATGATGAGACAACTGTACAACGACTACTTCATTTCGGGTAGACTAGACTTTAAGGTACCCCTTGTATTATGGCGAAGTTGTTGTTTCATTTATGGTAGCCTGAGTAGTTGAATGTTATGGAAACCCTATTGTGACGTAATGGGGTGCATGATTCTGGGAAATTTTGAATCATGGGATGTTTTGTAAGCGTTTTTGTGGTCTGTGTTAAAACCATTTAGATGGATTTGAATGGGTTTGTAGGAAGAAAGGTTCATATGGTCACTATGTGAAGCGTTCGATCAGAAAGAGTACCTGGTTTGAAAAAAGTCATTTGAGTATGATTGATATTTTGATTTTTACGTGGCTCTGGGTATACGAACTCGAAAATCATGGTAAGTGAATATTTGCTTTTGGTAGTGTTTAAATGTATAACATGTTTTTCCTTTTTTATTTTATTTTATTGTTTGGTTTAAAATGTATTTTATTGAGATTATGTATTTTTTGTTTGCCTATATTGTAGACTTTGGTGCTCCTTTGACTTTTTAAGTGAAAATATATCGATGTGTACATGGACAAAGTAAAGGGAGTGCGCAATGCAAGTTTGTGCAATTCTGTGACTTTTTTTTAAGTGAAAATAGGTCGACGTGCATAAGGATAAAGTTAAAAGAGTGCGCAATGGCATTTTTGTGCAATTCGAGGATATTTTTTTAAGTGAAAATAGGTCGACGTGTACATGGATAAAGTCAAAGGAGTGCATAATGCCATTTTTGTGCAATTCGGGGGGGTTAAGTGAAAATAAGTCGATGTGTACATGGATACCGAGTTTGTGCAATTGTTTGTCTTGTTATTTTGGCTTCGCAAGTCAAAATAATGAGTCAAAGCATTGCAAAAAATCGGTATCCATGTACCGCCAAAAATTGCCAAGAGGTAACCTAAACTATACTTTTACCCTTCATTTCTTTTCTTTTTCTTTGTCCTTTTTTTGAGGGGGATGCATTTTTTCTTATATCAATGCCAATTTTAATGTCAAACGATCAACATGCGGTTCTTTCTTTCAACTTGATGTATCATATTGCATATATTTAAAGATGACCTTTTCGTAATTTTGCACCAGTTTCAAAATAGACAGGGTATTCAGAGAAAACCATCATAACTATACTTCTCTTACTGACTGATTGATTACAAAGGTGTGCTCCCAATTAAAAAAATTTTTTTATAAATAATCAAATAGGGAATATTTTCAGGTTTGTACAATTTTGATTAAGTTATAAGGTATTTCTCCCGCCTTCTTAGCATGCCTTCATAATGTAGTGGTCAGCACGCTGGGGGCGTATTCCGGAGGTCCGTGGTTCGATTCCCAGTAAGGGCATTGCTCATTTTTCATCTCTCTCTGGTCGTTCTGAGACTGCTTTGCCGATGCTTTATTTTTCTTTTTTTTCCCCCTTTCTAGTAATTTCGTTCTCCTGATGAGGGACCTTTAGCTGCCATCAAAATTGATTGTTTTAATATATGTATGCTAAATACAAGGTTGTTATTGCGATTTTGATTGTCACATTGGCGAGTTTCTCTTCTATTCTAAGATTTGCTACCCAGCACAAACACACCGGCTCTGTCATGAGCCCTGGTAAGGATACACCATCCATCTCTGTGAACAAGCTATCCGATGCAAACAAAAACTGGTATAATTAAGCTTATTTGTCTGCACAAAAAATATTTCCAACTATCATATCATAGGAAAAGGTTATGTTTTCAGATGTGTGCCACGAGATATATACTGGTAGAGAGCGTATCTGCAACCTTCAACCGGTTCCAACATTAGTGTCACATGACTGCTGGTTGAATTCCGAAATTTACAATATTTTAAATGGTAATTATTAAAAAAAAAGAGAGAGAGAGAGAGAATTTTTAGCTATAATATTGATTTGTTTTGTTTACTCCTAATGGTAAATACTGAGTGAAGTTTATCATTTGATACATATTCAATATAAAATATTTGTTATAGTCAATAAGATGTATTGAACCCCCATGACATACACATGAGTGTGGAAATCAGTAATTAAGATTGCATTATTTTGTTCCAGTAATATAATCTCAAGAAAAAGGAGATGGTGCTGATTTTAGAAGTTTAACCTACATGCAGTGACATATAATTGAATTTGTTAATAGAAATTTATGAAAAAATAATTGTTGATAGCAAAATGAAAGTAACTTTGATCAACATTGTCTTAAGCAGAAATTTTTTCCAATCTACCATCATCAACAATTTAATTTGAAAGTGACTTCAAATTTTCTTTTAAATTCGCACTAAATTCGCACTACGTTGTCAGGATGTCTCTCTTTTCTTCAGAAGCCACCCTTTGACCTGTAAGTTGATGTATTACAAATTCTGTTTTTGAATGTATGTGCTATTGTAAAAGAATTTTAAGAGAACTTTAAAAGGACCCTTTTGGTTTACAGAATTACAAAATAAGAATTCTCATGTAATAAAAAGTTAGGGGGGGGTAAATGCCACCTCTCATATACAGACAATTACATTATTGTTTTGACTCTAGTTGTAGGTATATTTACATTCCCTTCCAATGAAAAATCACTACACTTTTAAAATTTCATGCTTTACCATTCTTCTGCAGTATACCTGTATGACCAAGCATACAAATAAATATATGTGTGTAATTTAATACTTCATTTGCTACTTTAGTACAATTAAGTTTTTTTTTTCCCTTTTATAGTATAAAAAATAGTTTCCATCTCAATTTTTTATTATTTATTTTAGATTTTCTTCCTAAAATTATTAAATAAAATTTTATATTTAATTAAATATATATTTCATAAATTGCATAAGTACACACATTACAATGTGATTTTCTTTTTCTCTTTAGGATGCAATGCATTAAAAATAAGCAAGATTTTTTTCTTCTCAATATCATAACAGTATTACAATTAATTTTTAAATGTATTCAAAACTAAAGTTTCTATCTCAAATTTTTATTATTTATTTTAGATTTCTTCCTAAAATATTAACCTAAACACCCTAAGCCACAGATGCAAAAATTTAAATATTAAAATATAATTAAAATATTCAGGAAAAAAAGCATTTAGTTATATCTAAAAATAATTGTAAAAAATTGAATAATCCAATTCGAGATCGTTACCTGACGATTACCAGCAGATAGAAATAAAAAACACTCCCTACCATATCAAAAGCCCGCCAAACCGACGATGAACATCCTAAGCTATCACTCCCCAAGAGCGCCAAAACCATAAGTCACATAGTCTATGTTCGGGTTCCACTAGCAGATGAATTCCCAGTGGAATAAGCAGTCTACTTGTTATATGAAGTCCTTGGATGTGTGAGGCATACTCTGTGACATGTCACATTTTTTCCCCTTTAGTTCGGTTAAGGGAAATTATCTCGTCATTGCAGAAACAGAACACAACACAACGCATATGATGATCAGAATACGTATAACACCATAGTAGCTATTTGAGAGATCATTTCTTTAAAAGTTGGAATTCTTGTACAACTAACTAACCATGTAAGATCATTACATTGCATTCAGTTATAAAGATTAATGGTAGAACAAAAATGACAAAGCAACACAGCATAATACAGCATTTCAACTTTGCATTTTAACAAAAAAATGCCTACTTTCACAAAATCAAATGATGTTGTTGTCCCTTCCACATCAAGAAGAATACAATCCGATTTCTGAACTAAATCTTTAAGATTATTCATTTCCTTTGAATTTAGTTAAGGATTTTATCAAAACCTGAAAAGAAAGTAAAGATTTATCATTCAATGTGTACTACACAATTAAAAAAAATAAACATTTATTTTAGACTAGCAGCTTCGCTGCCAGCCTTCGTCTGGCTTTTAAATGTACTGGAAAAATGGCTGAAGGGAACACCAAACGTTAAATTTAACAACTGCTTAGAATTTTACTCTGCAGAACAACTTCATAAAAAAAAGTTATTACGTGTAACAAAATTAGAATGAAATAAGCAATATCCCTTAATACAAATATTAATTATCCTAATAAATAAATTAACCAACTTCCCTTTGCAAAATCTAATGGTATAAAGGAGATTAAGAACTTTGTTTCCTAAAAAAATCACTCAAAAATTTTTCAATATCTTAAAAACAGTGAAATGAGGGATAAATAACATAAAAGAATACAAAAAAACAAAAAATTCTGAAAGCAAAAGTATAATTAATGATATTTTATCTTATATTTTCAGAGAAAAAAATTACAATGAAATAAGCTACATCCCTTAACAAACATTAATTATCCTAATAAAAAAATTAACCAACTTTCCGTTGAAGAAAAAAAATCATGCAAAACTTTTCAATATCTTACAAACAGTGAAAAAAGCAAAAAATAACATGAAAGCAACTCAAAAACATAAATTCCGCGCAGAATTTTCTCTCTGCAGAACAACTTTATCCAAAATAATAAATAAATAAATAAAATAAAAATGTATTATCTATATCTATATATAAATGAAAATGAAATGCCAATCTCTTAAAAACAGTGACATAAGAAATATGATAAAAAGTTGTTGCCAAACCCATATTTCTAAAAGAATGAAACTATTCAAAATGATGCGATTTCAACAAAAATCTATCAACAACAATAAGACAGGAAAACTGTTGCCAAAATCACATTTTTAAAGAAAAACTGTTGCCAAAATCACATTTTTAAAGATGTGAGAAGTGTACTCGGAAGCTTTATTTAAAAAAAAATGTTAAAAAAATCGCAAGGAAGAAAGTTTAACGTGTACGAAAAACAAAGAAAAATAAACTGTACATTTTTAAAAATAAACGTTTTTAGAAAAAAATCCCATTGAAAAGGAGTTAAGCTCCTTTTGTTAAATAAATTCGTATTTAATCGATTTATTGAAACACGAAATTTATTTTAAGTTCGTAAAATAGCTAAGTGCCTACGTTTCATGACGATGTGAAAATGGAGCGAGTAGAGTAAAATCTCGCTTTCCTATAGCCCTTTATGTCTCAAAATGACGTGATTTTGTCACAAAACATAAAATTAAAAAAATCCGAATTTGAATTTCGAAAAAATTGCTTCGAGGTGCACTGGCTCTTTTCTAGATGCACCTGTGTAACAAATTTCGTAGCCATGGGTATATTAGCTTACGCGCTGCGCGAACGAAAGACACACACACACAGACTCTTTGTTTTATTATATGTAGAGCTTAAACTTATCAAGTCATTGTGATACTAAAATAAAATTGATTCAATCCCAGTCCATCCATGAATAGGAAAAGTAATTTTAAACTGGCATATAACTTTACTAACAGCAACTACATATAATAATATATATTATAGCAGTAATTTTAAAACTGTAAACAAAGCCCCTAGTTGGCCTGCAATTGCGAATGTACACTGGGCCCCCCAAAAAAGTACAGATGTATATCTCCCGCTCTACTGGGCCAAGTGACAAAATTCAAATTGTGTTTTTCATTTCTCGAAAGCACGACTTAGGATAGATATTAGATTTAAATATAACATTGTTCTAACATAGGTATTTTGACACACAAAAAAAAAAAATCGGACTTTTTCTGAAATAACATACAAATTTTTTTTTCCATATTTCGATTCTACGACTCAAATTATGTCTAGATATTAGATTTTGTAAAATTTGGTGCGAAATTTACAGAGAAATTCAAAAAATTTATCTTGGCGAAATTTCTTCAGTTTGCACCAAGAGTAATTCACTTGGCGAACTTCTTAACCTATGGCAACCAATTTTCCTTTCCCTTCCATTATGCCGGAGCAGAAAAAAGGCACCTCATTTCTACCTATTTACATTGTGCATGCAGCGGACTAAAAGTCACATTGTTTCTACTTTCAAGTAATTTTAGCAAAGTGTCTAAACCACATTTGATGTTTTATCGCTTTCAACAAATACGCCAAATTTCAAAATGGGCCAATATATAAATTCACGTATATCTTCGGAAATTTTGAATTTAAAACGGTAATTTTTTGCAGGTATGCTTAGAAATACGTCTACTTTAAGATGATGGTAAAACTTTTATAGATTATAATTCAAAAATATTTTTGAAAAATTTATAAAAATTATTTTAAAATATAAATTTTAAAAATAAATAAAAAAATGGGTGAATTTTATTTGGAATGAACCTAAATTTTGAAATGTGGAAGGAAGAATCAAATAAGTTTAATAAAAAATGATTAATAAATACGAGGGTTGGAACTTTAATAGTGGCAACACAGCTGAAAAAACGCTACGCAACAAAACCAAAGAATATCGCGTATACCATACGTAAACTACATACCTACCTTACCTCTCAGCAGAAAGACTCGTCCAGCCTACGTCATGCGCATGCGGAGTGACACGAAGAACGGATCCTTGTATTAGCTCGCAGTCTAAAGTAAGTGTTGTCAGGATGTTTTCAAAACAAGAACAACGATGTTGGATAAAAATTGAATGTGCCAGAGGTCGTACAGCACGACAGTGTCATCAAGGGCTTCAAGAGGCTTGTGGGGAATCTGCATTGCCTTACAGAACCGTAGCAAGATGGGTGAAAGCATTCAATGAAGGACGCCAAAACGTGGCAGACATGCTGCAGCCAGGTCGTCCGAGTGTCAGCGATGCAGACGTGCAAGCTGTTGCCGCACTAATGGACAGTGATCGCCGCCAAACGATTCGTCAGCTGGCCGGACAAACAGGATTAGCGCATACGACTGTGCTGCACATTCTGAAGGAACGCCTGTCCATGAGAAAATTGCTTCACGATGGGTTCCACATCAATTGACGGAAATGCAGAAATGGCTACGATACGATGCTGCCCGAACCCACCTGGAGCGCTATGAGCGCGAAGGAGATGCTTTTTACGCCGTATCATTACGCTGGATGAGACTTGGGCCCGATCGTACCAGCCAGAACTGAAACGCCAATCAAACGAATGGCGTCATCACGGGTCACCACGACGTTCGAAATTTCGTCAGAACCCCAGCAATGTGAAAGTTATGGTGATTCTCGTGTACGACTGTGATGGTGTCATCCTAACGCATACCGTTCCCCCACAGCAGACCGTCACTGCGCAGTATTACTGCTCATTTTTGGAGCACAATCTCCGACCAGCTTTGAGAAAAAAACGGCGACACTTTCTGCAGAACGCTCCTCTCATTTTGCATGACAATGCTCGGCCGCATGCAGCGCAAGCTGTGACTGATTTGTTCAAGCGATGGGGCTGGGAAGTGCTTTACCATCCACCATACTCCCCAGATCTAAGCCCTTGTGACTATGACTTAATTCCTAAGATGAAGGAACCACTTCGTGGCACTCGCTTCCAAACTGTTCCTGAGATTCTTGCGGCAGTAGACCGGTCCATTCAAACTATCAACAAAACAGGCGCTGCTACAGGTATTCTGCGACTTCCACATCGTTGGAAACGGGTTGTACACAATGCTGGTGACTATAGTGAAGGAATGTAAAACATGGTGACATGAATCACTTTTGTGTTGTTTGTAAATAAATAGTTGCCACTATTAAATTTCCAACCCTCATATATACTAAACTCAATTAACACTGAGGAGCTAAAATTTTGAGAGCTAATTTTTTAAAACTACCTGTGCGATTTTTACAAAACTTTATTTGTTTGGCGTAATTTGAGTCATAGAATTGAAATATGAAAAAAATCTGATGTTATTTTAGAAAAAGTCCTATTTTGTATCAAAATACCTATATTAGAACGACGCTATATATAAATCTAATACATATCCTAAGTCACGCTTTCAAGACATCGAAAACTCAATTTGGATTTTGTCAGTTGGAGCAGCAGAATGGGAGATATAGAAGTGCCCCATTTTTTTGGAGGGGTGCAAAGTACATGGCAGTATAGCTTGAAGAAAACATCAGTATGCCTTTACACGTGGTAGAATGATTGACAAGCTTGAAAAAGTATAGTGGGTTGAACTAATCTACATTGCCATATATATATTAAACAGAGCTGGCAAATCATCGGTAGAAGGCACGACTCCTTATGAGCAAAGCAATGGATTAAAAAGAAACCTCGAATAAACATCTTCGCATAATAGAATCTGTTTGTTATACCCATTATTAGGTGTGGTAGAGAAGAAAAATACCGCTATGAATCAAAGAAGCCAACAGTGTGATTTGTGCATATGATGTTATACTCAACGAGGGGCTCACAAATTGTAAAGAAAGGGTGCAGTTACCTATTCAAGATCATGAACGACTAGTTTCTGGCTTTGAGTATCAAGAAGATTCAGAAAAAGCTAAGTCAGAAAAGTTTCTTAGTGAAAAAGATTATTTAAAAAAAAAAAAAAAAAAAGAACAAATGAAGAAATATCTAGAAATATATCAGAAGATTTTGAAGAATGTGAAAATATTAATTTGAAAAATAAAGCACAGTCAAGATATCTCAGAAACAGAGCTGAATTGAAAAAGCCAAAGAATTTTGATGATTATATAATAATAGGCAAAACTTGTATTGCTGAATCTGAAGAGCCTGTTACTTACGATGAAGCGATCAACTGTAAACAAAGCATACATTGGAAAGAAGCTGTGGATTCTGCGATGGCATCACTGGAGGGAAATGAAACACAGACAGAAAAATTAACAAAAAATGCAAATGCTATAACTTGCAAATGGGTTTATAAGATCAAAAAGAGTCCTGATGAACCTATTGATAAATTCAAGGCTAGACTTGTTGCCAAAGCATTTACTCAAGATTTGGGAGTTGATTATAATCAAATGCTTAGTCTAGTAACAATGTTAGGACTGTTTGTTCAACTCTCAGTATTGCAGATAATGAGAAAAATGTACCTTTCTCAGTTTGATGCCTAGTCAGCATTCGTATATCGAACACTTGAAGAATCCATATACACACAGCAACCAGAAAGAAAGAATCTATGTACATGCAGTAATCAGAAGGAAATAGTGATAATTCTGGCAAAGTCTGTAAGCTGAAATGCAGTTTATATAGATTAAAACAAGCATCACATTGTTGGAATAAAATTTTGGAGACTTTCTGTCAGAACCTGACTTCAAGGCAAGTGAAGCTGATCCATGCTTATATATAAAAACTAAACCGGCAAGAAGATAATCATATGCTTATGTGTAGATGATGGCTTGGTAGCATCAAGAGATCTACAAGAACCCAAAAAATTTCTCAGAGAATTCGAGATTCAAAATTACACCTAAACCAGTGGTATACTTTCTCGGACTTGAAATAAAGCATCTTGACACTGAAAGTATCAAAGTTAGTCAGCAAGCTTATGCAAGAAAAACTCGTCAAAAATTTGGAATGGAAGATGGCAAATGAGTGTCAACTCCTACCCAGAAGGAAAGTTTAAATAAAAAGAAAAAGGAAGATAAATCAAACACAGAAATTTTCCCTTACACAGAAACTGTAGGAGCTTTAATGCAGGGTGATCTTTTTTAAAGTGACGGTGTTTGAAGCGCCCTGTAGAGCGATCTAATAGTCGAAATGGCACCAAACTTGGTATTTAGACTAATCAAGACATGGGACATCAAGACATACAATCATACAGTTAAATTATTAATGTTTATTTACTACATTAACTTCCCCGGTGAGGAATTAGATCACATTCAACGTGAGCACCGTTCCGTTCTCAGGAGTTCACTTTGCATTCTGTGCACAACATTCTCCATACCCGTATGTAACATATCACGAGGAATATTTCAAACTATCTTTGTTATGTTGTCCTTTAGAATAGACAAATTTGATTCTCCACCAGCAAAAACTTGAGATTTCAAATAACCCCAGAGCCAAAAATCGCATGGTGCAAGATCAGGGGAATGAGGGGGCCATGCAACTGGAAAACTGAGACTTATGACTCTATCATCAGTGAAGATTTGGCGCAACGACTGCTTTACCTTATTACTAAAGTGTGGTGGAGCACCATCCTGCATAAAGATTGTCTGTTGGAGACGGTTTCTTTGCTGAAGTTGTGGAATAACAAACGTTTGCAGCATTTTGTGGTACCTTTCTGCATTTATGGTGCCCGTTTCGGGTCCTATTGGAGTGATGATCTCAAAAAAGAATGGCCCAATTACGAATTCGTCTGTGAAACCACACCAAACAGTGACTTTGGGGGAATTTAATGGGATTTCGTGCATGGTGTGGGGCTGCTCAGAAGCCCAAATTCGGCTATTTTGTGTGTTTACGTACCCACTGAGATAAAAATGGCACTCCTCTCCTCACAGAATATGCCATGGGAAAGCATCATCAATTTCTACCTTGGCAAGAAACGATAGAGTGAATGTCACTCATTTATCATAATCACTTGGTTTCAGTTCGTGCAAGTGGCTGATTTTGTAGGGGTAGTAAATTAATAACGTCCAAAACTCCCATTCAGCCTTTCAGATGGGTGAGTTAAGTTTGGGCTGAAAAGTGCATCTTTTAAAATCTGGAAGACCTTTCTTGTTTCTGCCGTCCAGGTTATTTCTTTTCTGCAGTTCTTTTTAACCCCACTGAGCAATTTGTTAAAAATGGGAGAGGGTATCTATCAGGAATCGTGACGTTGTTTAACGCTCGATAGTCTCCACAAGGTCTCCAATCACCTGATTTCTTCATAGCGAGATGTAGCGGGCTCGACCAGTTACTTTTGGATGGTCTGCATAAACCCAATTGGAGCATAAATTCAAACTCCTTTTTAGCCGCTTTGAGTTTCTCAGCTGATAGTCTCCTAGCTTTAGCAAAAACACTGGTGGACCTCTGGTTTCGATATAATGTTCAATGTTATGATTTTTAACTTTATTATTAACTACATTCAGTTTTAACAAATCTGGAAAATCGTTAATGATACGTTTATATGGATCATTTACGGCATTTAAAATTGGAATATTATTATTGTTATTTTGAAACAAGGAGTTCCATTGGTTGTTAACAATGTAGTACCATCAATCAACTTGCGATTTTTGGAATCTACCAAAAGGTTAAAATTTGCAAGAAAATCCATGCCTATTATCGGTTTGTTTACTTCCGCAATTACAAAAGGCCATGTGAATGATCGTCTGAGTCCAAGATCAAGCTTGAGTAATTTTTGGCCATATGTTTTGATTTTCGTACCATTTGCAGCAAAGAGTTCTAATTTTGAGATTTTTTTTTTATCTGCAGGGAAGAAATGACAGAAATTTCTGCCTCTGTAAATCTATTAAAAATTGGGTAGCCGATTCTTTGCCGCTGATGAAAAGATGACTCAGCTGCACCCCTTGTCCCTCTGTCCTCAATGAGAGACGGGGAGCTGGTTTTCCAGACTATTTGTCTGTGATTTTGACGAGTAGTTGCAGGGTTGTTTACACTTAAATGACTTATCACTGAATTTTTTATGACATTAACAAATATCACAAGATCTGTTACCACTGTAACTCCTATCTCTTGATTTGGATCGGTTATGACAATAGGGAGGACTGTGACATTGCTTGGATAAAGCAGAAACTTGTAAGCTAAGTTCACTAACCTGTTTTTGTAAACTTTCAATCACTTCCGTTTTCACCATTATAGATGAAGTAGCAGCTATTTGGGGAGTAACAGGGTTTAATTCTCAAATCTTATCGGCTATTGCAGCCACTTTTGACAAATCTTCAACACTAACAGATATAATGCTACGCATATTAATGGGTTAAACGTTGCAGCCACAATGTTTTTAGGAAAGCATCTGTTACTTTATCACCCCCCAAATTACGAATCTCACACAGCAATTGAGATGGATTTTTGTCACCCAGTTCTAATTCACTCAGTAATTTTTGGGTTTTTCGAGTCTGAATCTGCATATAATGAAATTAGTCTATTTTATTTGCCTGATATTTATTATCTTATGGTGGACTTAGCAAAATATCAGATACCTGTGACAAAATATCGGGTTCAATGGAACATATAATCATATTTTGTTTTATCTGCATTTATTTTTGCATTTCTAAATTGTGCTTCTAGTTGAATAAACCATATTTTAGGATCTGGCTTCTAAAAAAGGAGGAACTTCAATGCTTACCTTGGCGACAGACGGAGTTGTTGCTTTAATTTCGGTTTTCTCTTCGTCAGCCATTGTAGAATTCGATCACGCCGGGATACACCAGTGAAGTGTCGCACGTGCAAATGTAGGAAAACACTTCTCTGACTTCAATAGAACTAATATTGGGTTTTCATCCGCAGAGAACCCTTTGGCGCTTCGGGAAAGAACCCGTTGGCGCCGTTGCAATTTTTACTTGCCAAGGGATGAGCTGAGCCGTAAACGTGATTTTTAGTGCATGTAAGTTCAAATTAGCAGACAAAACAAAGTATTAAGCATACGGTAGTAAAAATTCACAGATAATAAGCATGTAGATGTAAAACTAACCAGTTGAACATGATATACGAAAATAAAGCTGTATTTTTCATAATATATTTCACAATACAAATAACCTTCAACAGTAATCTAATTTTCTTCAGTAGCATTGTTAACAAAACTAGAACTTTATACATTTTATTATTTTTCAAGACTAATTTGAACTGTATTCCTTACACCAGCAGTGGTTTGCTAATTTTGACGACCATGGTGATGCATCAAACTACTCAGTCATCTTAGATAATCAATAATATTTTTTTTTCAATTTAATCAGCTATTTAAATCACACCTGCCATCCTCGGAAACGTTATTGTTAGAAAAGCATTAACAATACAGTATCTTGTTAAAATTTTACGCCGTAAAAATTGGAGCCGTGAACCGGCATCGGTAAAATCCTAGTATACGGTGCAGCCTTGGCGCGACTTTGAAAATTATCGCCAACACCAAAAATGATCCAAAGAATGTCTATATATATACTATACACTATATACTATGTTTAACTATATATTTTCTTTGAATGACCCGTTAACTACTCATCGTATATGTCCCGTTTTTACTGCTCATCATAAAGTCGCCAAAAGTAGCCCAATCCAGTGTGCACCGGATACTAGGATTAAACCCCGCCATCTATCGACGAAAACTTCTTTAATTATAACGAAAATATTTCTATCCATTCGTTGTTAAAAAATTCAGAAAAATAACGTGGAAAATCAGAAAAAATAATAATAAATAAGAGAAGTAGAATATAAATCTCCAAATTCAAACAACGACAGTGATAATTCAACAAAATGAACGCAAGAGGAATGGTTGCAACCTTCAAACAAGCGAATACGATGAATCCGATAGGTTACCAGGTTTGAGCTATTATCGCCAAAGTTGGCGATGTTTACATTTACCGGGTTCTCTGAGGAAGTGCTTCCCTAATATTTTATTCCTTACAAAGTTATAGATACGTATTCATAAATTTATTTACATTTTACATGCATATTGAATCGCGTGATAGAAAACCGAACTTTGTTTACTTCGTTCTCCGCGGAGACTAGAAAAGTGTTGCCATTCCGCTTTAACTAAACTTAATTAGAAACTTGACGGAACTGAAGCGACACTATAGTGTGTGTTTCTTGAAATAAACTGCAATACAATTGTGAACTTTGCCTGGTAATAAATAAAAAAAATTTTGCACGTTTTCAGAAATCTAACATTTTGCCTATTAGTAACAGATTCTTCACATACACATCCCATAAAACTTTCTTTTACAAACGATTAAACTGTCCTTGTTAATTTGGGAATTCATTTGGAGAAAATGTCTGGAAGGAAAGCAAAAAGAGAGTTTTAAAAAAAATTTAAAGCAGATAGCTGAACAGTATTCACTGACTGTTAGAATGTAAATATTTTATGGATTGATTTTCATTATTATTATTAAATGTATATAAAATGATGCACTTCGATAGCTTTTATTTATCACCGATGTTACAGTATTATAGAAATCTTGCAGTTCGAAAGTAGGTTATAAGCTGTTCTTGGGTGATTGTGATTATAGTTTTCTCCGAATAAGTGCAATTCTTTGATATTTTTTTTTTAAGTTAAACCAGGTCGATGTCTGTATGGACAACAGTGCCAGTTTGCTTTGCATGCTGAGAATTCTGCAATTCTCTGATTCCTTTTAAGTGAAAACAGGTTGCTGTGTACACAGAAGACTGAGAAAATAGAAAGTTAAGTGTTTCATTATGAGTGTTGGCTGCATTTTTAGTTTGGTTAATTTCTTACTAAATTTAGTTAATTTGTTTTATGAAATTTTGAGTTTTCATTATCGAGGTTTGCATTATGTAATATTTACTTTTTCATTATGTATGTTTTTTGCATTTTTTATTTTGTTAATTCGTTGATATTTTGACGCAATTATCAGCCCACTAACATTTTTTAAAGCACCCAACCAAAAAGCTTTCTGATTTGACTGTACATACATGCTACATGTCTCATAATAAACAGAATTAATAGCATAGTTCTAATGAGTACATATAACTCTTGCACCATTACAAAACAAAATCTTAAATCTTAATCTCATAATCTTAATAAAGTCTCATAAGTCGAAGACTACCAATATGCTTATATGTAAGATATCTATAGGTAAAATAAATCTCAATATCACAGTACAACACTTAAAAATACACTGCCGGCCACCATAAATGCAACACCCTGAGGAAGCATGCAAATAACATGAAATTTACAACATGCATTATGGATTATCTTTCAGGGAAATCGGTAGTCGTGTTGGACGAAATCAAACAACTGTAATGCGGATATGTGACCGTTGAATGCAGGATGCAGGAGGGTACGACGGACCAACGTGTTTGATCGCATGCACCTCAGTGCACCACTTCACGTGATGACAGGAACATTATGTGCATGGCAATGACGGATCGCTCAGTCACATCACGAACCATAACACAGCACGTTCAGTCTGTAAAGCATCATCCAGTGTCTGTGCGTACCATTCGACACCATTTACAGCAGAGTGGTCTGTGCCTGCAAGATGTCCATTGCTTTGTCTACCCTTTACGCAGAACCACAGACGTCTTCGCCGTCAATGGTGCAATGAAAGAAGGATGTGGACGGCAGAATGGAATGAAATTGTCTTTACTGATGAGTCACGCTTCTGTCTGCAACACCACGATGGTCGGATTTGAGTCTGGAGACACCGTGGAGAGAGGATGCTCAACAGCTGCGTTATGCACCACCACACTGGTCCTGCACAGGGTATTATGGTATGGGGCGGTATTGGATATCACTCTC